TCCACACCCATCTCCCCTTCCCAATCTACTCAGCTGTGTTCTCTCACCTTATTTACACCCATCAAGTCCAATTTGTGCTGCCCATATGCTACTCCTGGATGTGTGACCTTCATCAGAGGGTGGCCAGCTCCCAAAGGGCTGTGCCCTTACAGAACACTGACTCTCCCCTTCACATGTATACAGGTACTTGCAGAAGCCAGGAGAAGGTGCCAGATCCCGGGAAGTTGTAAGTCACCCAATGCAGGTCTGGAAATCAAACTCAGGTCCCCTGGGAAAGTAGCAGGCACTCTTAACTGCTGAACCACCTGTCTTAGTTTTCTTGGCATTACCGTGATAAATTCCATGACAAGGAGGAACCTTTGAAGTAAAGGGTTTATTTCATCTTATGCTGTCAGGTCCCAATCTATCACCAAGAGAAGACAGGGCAAGAACTCAAGGCAGGAGCCTGGAGGCAGGAACTGAAGCAGAGATCACGGAGGAGTGCTGCTTACTGACTTGCTCTCTGACTCATGCTTTTGTTTTGTTTTGTTTTGTTTTGTTTGGGTTTGGTTTTTTGAGACCAGATTTCTCAGTAGCTATGGAGCCTGTCCTGGAACTTGCTCTATAGACCAGGTTGGCTTTGAACTCACAGAGATCCACCTGCCTCTGCCTCCTGAGTGCTGGGATTAAAGGCATGCACCACCAATGCCCAGTGGTGATGAGAGATCTAACTGAGTTGCACACAGAAGAAAAAGAGATATAACAGTGAACCAAAAGTATCCCAGACTCAATCAACAAGACATGCCTACAGTGACCACTAGTCAAATCAGTCAGGGGAGCTTTACTACTCTTTTTTTCTCTTCCACCATTTCAGAGAGAAGGCCTAACCAATACTGTGAATTCAAATGTATGGCCTCTAGAATTTCGAAAAGTAAGTTTTGTTGCTTCAATTCATCAAGAATTGGGCAACATGTTATAGTGGCCTTGGGCGATGAATACAACTGATTGCTTTATTGTGTCCAAGAGTTTATCTTCTGGAAACTAACTAAATTCTTCCTACACTATGATTGCCAGAGTCATAGACTTTTTTGGTTTAGAAGGGATCTTAGATGTATATCCCAACGTCCTCCAGCATTTGTAAATATCAGATATACTAACCCATTTTGTATTTTGTAGTGTGGTATCTATGAGAAGAGTTAGAATAGGCTCTAGCAGTTCTGTCCTCAAATGACAAATCATCAGGCAAACTTCTACATGATACCTGCTATGTCATTCTTCATTTTCTCTTGTTTGTGAATGCACAGACACCAATGTATGAAATTTATTTTCACTATAGAAATATTCCTAAATATCCCTTCTACATCAACCATGAATCAGGAAAATGTCCTACAGACTTGTCTATAACCCAGTTTTATGGAGGATGTTTCTCAATTAAAATCCCCTCATCCAAGATATACTTAGGTTTGTGTCTAGTTGACAAAAGCCAGCCAGCACAATGCCATTATCAGTAACCGATCCAGGTGAGGCTTTTATGGAATTGGTTGTCAAGATATTTCACTATCTTGTAGTGTATAAAATTATATATATAAATAATATACATATATTGAGATTTGTTAAATTTCACCAGCTTTTTTCTTGTTTTTGCTTTTATTCTTATTTCATACATCTTTAGAATAATTTTTCTCTCATTCCATTTTCCTGTTTGTATCATATATTTTTATGCATATTGGTGTTTTGCCTGCTTGTTTATCTGTGCACCTCCTTTGTACCTATTGCCCACAGAGGCCAGAAGGCCAGAAGAGGACATCAGATCTCCTGGGACTGTAATCACAGATGATTGTGTGAGGCCATGTGGACACTGGGAATCAAAGAGCACTGGTTGCTTTTCGAGAGAACTGGGGTTCAGTTCCCACCATCCACATGGTGTCTTGTAATTGTTTGAAACTGTGGACGCTCTCGCTGCCATGAACACTGCATGAATATGGTGCATAGATATATAAGTAGACAAAACACCAGTACACATAAAAATAAAATAATGTTCTTTAGCACTTTGTTGATTCTGAGAGTCAAGTGGAAGATGTATGAATTATAGTATGTTCTAGTTCAAGAAAATTAATAAAGATTCAATGAACATTCTTCTTGATTATGAAAAGTGATTTAAAGAAGTGGAGGACAGCATTGTATGATGAACATTTGAGAAATCATTTAAACTGCAAGTAGTGTTTTAATGGTTAAAGGAGAGAGATGTGTGGCCAGGAGAAATTGTTCAAAATGCCCAAAAGAAGTTTCAGATTGTAAAATACAGCTTTACTATTTTTATTTATTTAATTTTTGGTACATGAAATAGAATAAGACTTTAAGAGAAGTAGAAACTACAAAAATAAAAGAATTGAAGATTTGATTAAAACTGTAGAAATTATCAATGAATTTTTCAGTATAGTGTTGTTTCTTTTTCTTTTCTTTTTATTTTGGTTTTTCAAGACAGGGTTTCTCAGTGGCTTGGAGCCTGTCCAGAAACTAGCTCTTATACACCAGGCTGGACTCGAACTCACAGAGACCTGCCTGCCTCTTCCTCCCTAGTATTGGGATTAAAGGTGTGCTAGTGTTTGTTAAATAGTGTGGAATTTCACTCTAGGTCTCATAACTGTGCACTTCTGATTAGAGAACAGAAGCCGCAGACAGTTTTGGAGCATTATGCAGGATCTACAACTGTCAAAAAAAATCATAGAGTTCTAATTTATGAATGTAGATGAGAATATTCATGTGTATTAAAATGTATTATTTCCGGGGAAAAGATCCACAAATATAGTTTAGACCTTAAGATTTTAAGAAACATTGCCAAGTATAAAAATGGTATAAGTCCTGAAAATGGGAAACTTGTAAGGTTAACTGTTTAGGAGGATCATTTTTTTTATTTTATATTTTTTAATTTATTTCTTTTTTTAAAAAATACATATATTGTTAAAAATAAGAATTTAAATAAGGCTCACTTGTCAGAAAACAGCATGTTTTATTTTAATTAATTAATTTATTTATTTAAGATTTCTGCCTCTTCCCCGCCACCACCTCCCATTTCCCTCCCCCTCCCCCAATCAAGTCCCCCTCCCTCGTCAGCCCGAAGAGCAATCAGGGTTCCCTGCCCTGTGGGAAGTCTAAGGACCATCATTAAAAAGTCATTTCTTTCATCTTGTAGATCCTCCTACAGCTGAGGAACTGCAGGTCCCGCCCCTTCACACGCTCCAGCAGTTCCGGGATGGGGTGGATGTTGAGGTGAGCTAACTATAGCCCTGGTTAGCTCCAGTGTTCTAGCGGAAGCTCCACCCGAGACCCTGGCATCCATATACCCAAAGAGTCTAGAATATTCTGGAGGAAGTTCTACCCAAAATCCCCTCCCTCATCTCTCTCCAAACCCTGCCATGGTGTAGGATGTCCTGTATATATGTTGCTTTTATTGGTTAATGAATAAAGAAGTTGCTTTGGCCTGTGATAGGGCAGAGTAGAGCTAAACAGGGAAATCTAAACCGAATGCTGAGAGAGAGTAGGCGGAGTCAAGGAGAAGCCACGGAACCCAGTAGGAAACAGACACAGGAGACAGACACCAGATAGAACCTTACCAGAAGGCCACAACCATGTGGCGATACATAAATTAATAGAAATGGGTTAATTTCAGATATAAGAGCTAGCTAGCAATTCACTTAAGCTATTGGCCAAACAGTATTGCAAATAATATGGTTTCTGTGTGGTTATTTTGGGTCTGGGTGATTGGGAACGAACAAGTTGCTTTCTGCAAACACTTCCACATCTCAGAAAGCCTGCCAAATAATGACCCCTCCCTCACAGATGCTCAAGACCATTCCTGCAGGGTATTTAAACTGCACCCCCCCTCCACCAAAAACAGACACATGTTTTTCCAGTCTCTCTTTCCTGTCTCCTCTCTGGGGGAGTGGAAAATCATCTGGTAGTGTTGCATCCATTAAACGTGGGATTTTTCTATTTGGTTTGATTTGGTCTGATCTGGATTGCTGCATTGGCAAGAAGGCTTGTTCCGGTGCAGAAACTTTTCCTCCAGTACCGTCCTGGTTAGCTCACCCAATGCCAGTGCAGTAGGCAGCAAGGATCAGAGCTGCTTCTCTTGTTCCCATGCCCACAGGGCTGGCTCACCCACACCCACACCACCAGAGATAACTCTTCTGTTTTGCCCATGAGAGGTGTAGGACCAACTTTCCCAGCTGCTGCAGAGACCAGCTTTCTATCCTGCCACAGTGGACAAAAGGGGTGAGAGGGCCTCAATGATGCCACCACATGGTAGGTGTGGAGGCTGTAAATTCTTCTGCTCTTATGCCATCAGGTTTCCTGTCCCCTCCCTGCCCCTGGCAGCAGTGTCGGCTCTAGTGTGCAAGCCAGGCGAGATTCAGGGCCTACTACTCTGTGTGCTTCAGCCAGTGAAGGGCTGGAGCAGGTCTCCCAAGGCAAGAAAAGGATATCCAAGAGGAGGTCCAGTGAGGACCCAAGTTGATGCTGCAGTAGAGGTCAAAGGCCTCGAGGCAAACCAATGACTCGTTGCAATCAACACTTAGAAGTGAAGATGTGTGGACTTGACTAAAGCATAAAGTGTGTAACTCACTGCTTCACACCACAGCTTCCATGCTGAGACTGGTTTGTTTTTATTTTTTTGTTTTTCTTTTATATTTTTTTCTATTTGGGGGAGAAGGTGGCAAGGGTAGAGGGAAGAAGGCAGAGGACCAATACAAAGGGACAGTGAGATGAATGGGATTGGGATGCATCATGTGAAATCCAGAAAGAATCAACACAAAGTTTTTCGTTGTTGTTGTTTTTAAAAAAATGGTCACTTCTCAGGACATGTGTGATGAATATATCGAGGAAGCAGAACACTAATACAGGTTTCAGAAAACAAGATGATATTTGAGTAGGATCATCATAATAGTTCCAGAGGGAACAGAACAGTATAATTTATCAGGCTGTAAAAGGTTATGTTTATAGGACTCTAGAATGCCGACTCCTTATTTTGTGGCCAAGAAGACCCGTGTCATCAACCTCTTAAAAGCTCCCTTTACCTCTTTGTTCCTAAGTGTGTAGATCAGGGGGTTCAACATGGGTGTGATGATCCCATAAAAGAGGGACACCATTTTCCCTCTGTCCTTGGAGGCAGGGGATGGTGGCTGCAGATACATGTAGATGGCAGTACCATAAAACAGCACCACCACAATTAGGTGGGAGCCACATGTCCCAAATGCCTTTCGCCGACCTTCAGCTGACCTGATCCTCAACACTGCTTGAACGATAAAAGTATATGATATGAGTATAAGAGTCACAGGTATTATAAGGAACACAATACTAACAAAAAATAGTTCAGCTTCAATAGTGGTGGTATCCACACAGGACAACTTGAGTAGGGCAGGAATCTCACAGAGAAAATGATCCAATTTCTTGTGACCACACCGTGGCATCTGAAGGGTCCATGTGGACTGCAATAATGAGTTGCTGAAGCCACTGATCCAACACGCAGCCGCCAACTGCAGGCAGCGCCTTTGGTGCATGATGACTGAGTAATGGAGAGGCCGACAGATGGCTACAAACCTGTCGAAGGACATGACGCCCAGGAGAAAGCATTCAGTGCAACCCAAGGCCAGGAAAATGAAAAGCTGGACCACACAGCCTCCATAGCTGATCACCTTCCGGGAGCTACAGATGTTGACGAGCATCTGGGGCACTGTGCTCGTGGTGTAGCACAGGTCCAGCAGGGACAGGTTTGTGAGGAAAAAGTACATGGGGGTGTGGAGTTTGGAATCCAGGCGGGACACCAGAATTATTGTCATATTCCCAAAGATGGTCAGGATATAGGACACCAGAAACACCACAAAGAGTGGCAGCTCCAGCCATGGCCGATCTGAGAACCCTAAGAGAATGAACTCCCCTGAGATGCTCTCATTCGCCAGAGGCATGGTAAATGGTGCAGTCTCCGGGTCCCTGGAACACAAAGGGTTAGTAAGCCGGTGAACATGTTTATTGACTGCATCAATTAGATATGAAGTGACGATGCCAGAGCATTTCCTGCATTTCCAAACTGATCCTGTTAGTGTGAAAACCGTGTGGATAAAAGGTTAAGCGTCTGTCAAACCTTCCACAGGTGTTCATGGATTGCTAAGAGTTTTTAACACAGCGATTTCGAGTTTGCAGCACAGTGTCCGTTTCTACAGTCACAGAGCTTCTCCTCTGTGTTTGCCCGTCCTGTGGACGGTTGTTCTGGGGTCTTTCTACCTGGGTGTGTGCTGTTGGGGGGACAGAGGTATTGTTCCTGTTATTTAAATTCACTTAAGTTTCTTCCCAGAATCAGTGAGAGTGTCTGGTTGCAGGCATTTGGTAGAATTAGGTAAACCTCATTTCCCCACTATTCCTGCCATTCTCTAAAATAAGTGCAGACATTAATTATGGCATCTACCTCGTAAGTTTTCAGACACGGTGTCAGGAGACTCATCCTCCAATGCTGTGTCACAGAATCCACAGGTCCTGTTAGCTGCTGTGACAGTGAGGCTGGCGGGCCTGGCTCATCTGCCCTTCTGGAACTAGTTTCACTGCTTCTTGTGCTCTGATCTTAGGGTCCTCATCTGTAAGGTGAGGACACAGATGCATTTTCTGGCCTGTTGAGTCACAGGTGCTCCCACTCAGCCTAACTTTGGGAGGGAACAGAAGAGTGAGCTCAAAGCATCCACACTGACCGAGGCACAGGGGTGCTCAAAGGAGTCACTTGGAGCTTCTTCAGTGTTCCTTCCCAAATGGGTCAGCGTTCAATTGGTTATGTTACAACCCTCACAGTCAGCTTCAAATCCAGGGGCCAAGGAAACATATCCTAATCATTGATGTTATTTTTTGTGTAAACTGTTCGCAGTACCTGGTCCACAGGAGCAATTGCTGGGTCACAGGTGTCAGAGCGCTGGGATACTTTGGGTAGAGCTGAGTGAGAATCCTAAATATCTTGGAAGTAGTGATATAGCAACTCCAACCTCTAAAAAATATGTATCCCAAAGAAATCTCCATGAAAAACTAAGTTTTCAAATTTATTTTACCAATATGGGAATATATATTTTACAATTTTGTCCATAGTTATTAAAATATTAGCTAAGGGTATTGATTTTTCCTCACTTACGGTAAAACATTTAGTTCCCATCATTTGCTAGGTGTTCATGAAAATAAAATATGAAATAATCTTTCAATGTATTTTTCTCTGTGTGTGTTTGTGTGCATTTTGGTAGGTGCTAATTTTTGCACATGCAAGCTACAGCACAAATATGAAGCTCAGGGAACATCTTGGTTGAGACAGAATTTCTCTCCTGTTGTTCATGCTACATATGACAAGCTAGCTGACCCTCCAGATTGATCCGATTCTACCCTCTGTCTCTCACTTTGCTAGAAACACTGGGGTTCTGAACAGAACCCTGTGCACCCTGTGCTCAGCCCAATGTGGTTCCTGTGGTTTTGAACTCAGGTCCTCAAACTTCTGTGGTAAGACATTTATCTGCTGAGCCATTTTCTCAGTACCTCAAGATAGTTTTTTCAATTTTTTGAGTTGTGGTCTCTTGTATCCCAGGCTCTCCTCAATCTTGTTCACATTTCCTTCCTTATGATATCTCATTATTTTATGCTTTTCCAAATTGCCTCATATTCTTTGAGAGTGTCTTTCATATATATATATTTTTTCTGAATTATGTACATAAACCATAGGAGTCTTTCCCCCACACAGCTAATAAGGGAAGGATCTACTTAAAGTTTACCCTTTAGAAAAGCTGAGTTCTGAAGGCAGAAGCCTGGGTTTATTTGCTCCTCTAGCTTAGCTTGCTTCTTGGGATCCCAGATCTGCTTCAGCAGACAACAGAAGGGAAAGCTGATCTGCTCTGGGGGCCATGGTCCCCCACCGAGATCACAAATGTCTCCTACTGCTCAAATTCCAATACGAGTATATTTAGTAATTTCTTATATATTCTACTTACCTCTAATTTAAGCGTGAGAGACAGAAAAATTCATTTTGCCTTTCATAACGTCTGGCATTATAACAGAAGTAATTAAAGTGGCACAAACACAATGGCACTTCTGTCTGCTACATAGTCATCTACTTGTTCAGCTGAGGAGAACTGAAGTTCTAGTTCTACTTGCTGGGCGTCCTGAGTTCTCCAGTCAGAGTGCAGTGGATGTACCGGTGATGCCCAGAAAATGTGGTACCGGAGTCATGTCCAGTACACTTCAGTGAGCTAATCATTATTTTTAACAAGATATTTTCTGATTGATTTTACAAAAATGGGAAGCATACATTTATAACCAAATACTGGTTTTGGCCTCTGCTAAAATCCCAACACTGATCCCTCCTTTATAGATAAGATTCACCAGGGGCTCAGCAAACTCCTGGTCCAATGGGAAACAGGAGGAGAGCTGTGAAGGGTTGGCTCTCTTTCATGGCTGTGCCGTTCAGGAAGAGCCGTTCTCTAGGGACCAAATCCTTAACTTTATAACATGACAGTAGTGATGGCAGGTTTGGGGTTGTGATGGGGTGAGGGGGTGTGGTGGTGGGAGGCAACAAAGGAAAAAACAGCAACAACAACAACAAAAAACAACTTTACAGCTAAAAGCTGAATTTTGTGCTGACAGGGATTTATTTACACTTGAAATGTATTATTCAGTGTGTTCTCTAACGTCATTCAATTGCTTTTGTTTTTTTGCCTTTCACATTTTTTAGTTTTTTTGTTTGTTTTGTTGTGAGACAGGGTCTGGATATATAGCCCAGGCTGTTCTAAAGCTCAAGATTCTTCCAAGTCAGTGTTTCAAGTGCTGAGATTTTAGGCGTGTGTCACTACATGGACGTGGATTGACAGGGGTGTGTCACTACGTGGATTTGCAGGAATGTGTCATCACAAGGATTTGCAGGGGTGTGTCACCACATGGATTTGCAGGGGGTGTCACCACAGGGATCTGCATGGGTGTGTCACCACATGGATTTGCAGGGGTGTGTCACCACACGGATTTACAGGGGTGTGTCACCACATCTCGCCATCATTTAGTCAATTCCATCAGAAAGAAGAAAATTCATTTCATTTTCTCATCTAAAACCATGTTCCCACACCTTTGATTTGCACATCAGTAAAGAGACTGCTTTTTATCCAACCTTCCGAAGTTGCTTATTAACCGTTTCTATGATATATTTTATACAGAAATTTTGAAAACATATATTTATAAACACTATATCCAGAATATCTTTCCTCTCATGGTTTCATTCTCTCTAGATTTAGTTACTTTTTCTGAGGATCATATACTGCCAGTTAAATTGTTTTGTTTAAAATTTGTCTGCAATATATTATTTAGTTCAACCAGAATCAATTTATTTTGAAGGCAGATTTAGAAGACATGCTTATAAATGTTAAAGACAAAAAATCAACTTTTAACGAATTTGGAAAAAATTCCAATAAACTACCAAATATTTTTTTTAAATGACAAACTGATATAGAGTAGCCAGGATTGAGAAGAGCACACCTACATGATCAATACAAGAGAAGAGATCCAATTATCAAAGGAGTCTATTTCATAGAAATAATAAAACTCTGCTCTTTCATCGGATTTAAAAGGAGAACTGAGTGTTGTAGGCTTTCTGAAGAGACATAAAAATAATACATTTTATTTGTTTTTCTCATTTATTTGCTTTTGAGAATTCCACACAATGGATTTTGATCATATTTGCCCTCTCCCCAAATCCTCCACACCCATCTCCCCTTCCCAATGCATTCAACTATATTCTCACCTTATTTAAACCCACCAAGTCCAGTTTACACTGCCCATACGCTATTCCTGGATGTGTGGCCAACATCAGAGGATGGCCAGCTCCCAAGGGGCTGCACCCTCACAGAGCACTGACTCTCCTCTTCCAGACGCTATCAATTGGCAGCAGATTTTAGCTAGAGATGGGACTTAGTTCCTGCCTCCTCCTCTGGTGGGAATTTTGTCTGGCCTCGTTCCGTTTCTGCATGCTGTCTGAACCGCCACGAATTCATATGTAGAACCGTTTAGCTGGATACAGAAAACACCATTTCTTTGGGTTCTTAAAACATTTTAACCTCTTTTCTGCGATGACCCCAGAGCCTTGAGCAGATGAAGTGTGATACAGATGTCCCATTTAGGGCTGAGCATTCTGCCATCTCCTCTTATTGCACCTTGACCTGCAGTGAGCCTCTATGTTTGTCTCCATCTACTTTTGAAAAAGCAGTTCCTCTAATGAGGGTGGAGAAACGCACTACTGTATGGGTACAATGATAAGTTATTAGGAGTTTATTTCATGTTATGCACACTTAGCAGAGTAATAGAAGTTTCTCCCCTAGAAACTAGGACCTGTCTAGTCACAAGTTCTTGATCCTAACAACACGAACATACATGACTTTCAACAAGTGGAGCAGATCTGAAGTCCAATCAGAAAGTGGTTGCTTACTCCCATGATATTCAGGTCAGGGGCAGGTCTTGTGTTGGTTTATTTGTAGTTTAGTTATGCAGGCTTAGAGAACAGTATTTAGTCTCATTCTACGCCATGTGCCTATCCAGTTTGATCAGCATCATGGTTGAAGGGATTCACTTTTTTCCATTTGTATTGTTAGCTTTTTCGTCAAGAATCATGTGACTGTAGATATGTGGGTTTATGTGTGGATCTTCAATTTTATTTCACTGATCAAAGTGTATTTTTTTATGCTAGTACCATGTTGTTCTTATTACCGTAACTCTGTAATATAACTTGAAATCTGGGATAATGGTTCCTCCAGTATCTCTTATATTATTCAGTACTGTTTACACTGTTTTTGGTCTTTGTATTTCCATATAAAATTTAAGGTTAATTTTTTTTCAATTTCCAAGATGAATGGCATTAAAAATTTGATGGTGATTGTGTTAAAATTGCTTTTTGTAAGTTGGCCATTTTCACATTGTTATTTCTATGAATATAGGAGGTCTTTCTCGTGCTATCTTCTTCCATCTGTTTTTTCAGTGTCTTAAAATGTTCATTGTGTAAGTCTTTCACTTCCTTGGTTATAGTTATTTCAAGAATTTGGTTTGTTTTTACTTTTAGGTTACTGTGAATGGACGGCTACATGTAGAAAAATGAAACTAGATACCAATGTCTTTCTTAGTGTGTTTGCCATCTATGATTAGTAGCTAATGATCTTTGTGTATTAATTTGATATCCTACTGCTTTGCTGTAGGAGGATTATGGTAGAGTCTTTAATGTATAGAATCCTATTGTCTTCTCATAAGGATACTTTGAGATACTACTCCTAGAGAGTTAGATCTTACACAGCTTTATTTTTTGGATAGTGCTATCACATCTCAGATCAGAAATGGAAAGTGGAAGAAGTATCTAAAGAGGTTGATGGTCTTCAGAATTTCCTGTCTGAGATAAAGAGGCCTCCTAGAAAGGAAGATGAGGTTCTCATAGGTCAGAAGCTCAATGAAAGTTGAGAAAAGTTAGCCAGGATAGAAAATTCAGCATGCTCTTTACTTTTTTCTATTTGTTCTAACCATTTTTTTCATCCTTGGCCTATCCTTACCCAAAACTCAATACAAGTATATTCAAGTTTATAACCTATGAGAATATTGTGGCTATAGCAATCTCTTTTGGGTGAAATAATGTAATACTAAGAGTTGCAGTGACAATGTGACTTAATGTATTACAGTTTGACACCATAGACTACCTCAGAAGAAGAAACAAAGTCTTTGCCCATCATTATTTCCCCATATTCAATAATACTGAAACACATTCTCTTTTATTGCAATGTAATCTAACTGTTTTCATGGTAGTTCTAGTGGAAGGGAAGAAGAGATCACACATAGTCTGTTCATTGTACCAATTCAGAGCATTTGATGTCAAGCACCCATTAGCTCTTTGAACTTTATTTTCCCAAATGACTGTACATAATTTTAGTCTCTTTGTGGCTTGTGCAGATTCCACAGTTTAAAACAGCACAGTTTTCTTGCATCATTTATCACTAGGTATTTATAGTAAGTTTACACTGATACTTGCCTTTCAAATCCCCCACTGTCTCCATGGGTGATGCACCCCCCACAGTCCTGACTTCCTTGGTCATGTTCTCCCTCCTTCTGCTCTTCAACTAGGCTTTGGGAACTCAGTTTTGGATGCACACCTTCCTAGACCTGGATGGCGCGGGGGGTGGGGGGCTTGGACTTCCCACAAGGCAGGACACCCTGACTTCTCTTAGGACTGGAGAGCGAGGAGGAGGGGGAGTGGGAGGAGTGGGATGGAAATGGGAGGATGGGAGGAGGTGGAAATTAGAAAGAAAGAAAGAAAGAAAGAAAGAAAGAAAGAAAGAAAGAAGTATGGGTTAATTTAGATTGTTCAATTGAGCTAGTTAATAATAAGCCTGAGTGAATAGGCCAACCAGTTTATAATTAAGATAAGCCTCTGTGTTTTGTTGGGACTGAACATTTGTGGAACCCAGACAGGACAGAAACCTCTGCCTACAAATGGTGCCAAACATTTGGCAAGAATTTTCACATAAAGCCTGAAAAACCTTTTTAAAAAGTTTCTACGAAAACAAAAGAACAGAGTCAAGAACAGCTTCTTAGTAGCAACATTGTCTCAGGCCGGCTCTGTTTGCTAGAGGCGAGCAGACCTGCAGCTCCTTTAAGAGAGGCTTCCTGACTCAGTGTTAGCAGCAAACCTCACAGCTCTTTTAACAGGTCTTGCTACCAAACACTTAAATGGTGTTTATGAGCAGCTGGTGGCATGCTTCTCGTTGGTGGCATGGACCTAGAAACTCCACAGAGTTGTGGGGAAAAACGTGGATCTACCTAGTACCTCCACCATAAAGCTAATCTCTCAGGAAGCCAATAAGTGGGGCAGATTCAGTCATCAAATCGTGGCTTTAATCCTAGTCTCATGGCTTAGTAGACTAAAGACTTCTATGATCAAAAAAGAAAGAGATAAACAGTAAAGACAGATTCAGGAAAAAAAAAGTCTAAATGGTTACAGTGTATTAAAAATATACATAGGCTTAGGAGAGAAAAGAAAAAAAAGAAATATTGTCAGGTGTGTAGCACACGCCTTTAATCCCAGCTCTTGGGAGGCAGAGGTAGGTGGATCTCTATGAGTTTCAAGACAGCCTGGTCTACAGAGTGAGATCCAGGACAGGCAAAGAAAACAGAGAATATCTGTCTCAAAAAAAAATTAAAAATAAAAGAAATAGGTTTGCGACCTGCCCACCAGCACGGAGGCCTGATCTCTCGGCGCCAGGAGACCCAGCATTGGGGTGAGTTTCTGGCCCCGCGGCGCCAGCCCGGGAAGGGGAGTTCAGAGGTTCCTTGGCCCCCTATCCTTCTTGAGCTCTCTGCAGGGCCCCCGCTCCCTGCATACCTCCTCTTTCTTCCTAGCCCACCTAGCTTCCATCCAGAACCCTCCCCACTTTGCCCCACCGCCCTCTTTCTGCACATAACATCACCCAGCCCAGCCTGTCTGGGCACTGGGTCCCAATCCTCGGGGCACCCAAGCGGGCAGGAGTTCCTTTGTTTCTTTGGCCTGCCTGCACCAAGCAGGGTAGGCGCTTTGTTTGCCACCTGCCCATCAGCACGGAGGCCTGATCTCTTGGCGCCAGGAGACCCAGTGTTGGGGAGACCCAGCGTTGGGGAGAGACAACGTTGGGGAGAGCCAGCATTGGGTAGGCAAGGAGACCTGATCCGGTAAAGAAGATCCATAAGGGAGCATTTGGAAGAAGAGATGGGTAGACGCCAAGGCAAGAATTCGCCCAACAAGGTGAAAAGCAACATGAAGCCACCAGAAACCAGCGACCTCACAACGGGAGGACATGAACACCTTAATCAAGAAGAAGTAGAAAAAATTGACTTCATGAAAGTGATTGACGCCCTTAAACAGCATGTAAAAAACGCCCTTATAGAAATGGATGAGAAATATAACAGAAAGTTTGAAGAACTGAATAAATCAGTGAATGATACCCTAGAAAACCAAGGAAAAACAATCAAACAGATAATGGAAACAATGCAAGACTTGAAAACTGAAATGGAGGCAAAGAAGAAAACACAAACAGAGGGCCGGCTGGACATGGAAAATTTAAGTAAACAAACAGAGTCTACAGAAACAAGCATAACCAACAGAATACAAGAGATAGAAGAAAGAATCTCAGATTCTGAAGATACCATAGAGAAAATAAACACACTGATCAAAGAAAACAGCAAGTCCAACAAACTCTCATCACAAAACATTCAGGAAATATGGGACACAATAAAAAGACCAAACCTAAGAATAATTGGAGTAGAAGAAGGAGAAGAAGTGCAGCTCAATGGTCCAGAAAATATATTTAATAAAATTATAGAAGAAAACTTTCCCAACCTAAAGAAAGATATACCTATGAAGGTTCAAGAAGCATACAGAACACCGAATAGGCTGGATCAAAAAAGAACATCCCCTCGCCATATAATTATCAAAACACAAAGCATACAGAATAAGGAAAGAATATTAAGAGCTGCAAAGGAAAAAGGCCAAATTACTTATAAAGGTAAACCTATCAGACTTACACCTGACTTCTCCATGGAAACCATGAAAGCCAGAAGGTCCTGGATAGATGTACTTCAGAAACTAAGAGACCATGGATGCAAGTCCAGATTACTATACCCAGCCAAGCTTTCGTTCACTATAAATGGAGAAAATAAAATTTTCCAGGATAAAAACAAATTTAAACAATACGCAGCCACAAATCCAGCCTTACAGAAAGTAATAGAAGGAAAATCACTAACCAAGGAGTCCAACAATGACCACAATAACTCAGACATCTAGAGACCCTTCACCAACACAAATCAAAGAAGGGAAACACACAAACTCTACGACTAAAAAAATGACCGGAGTTAACATCCACTGGTCATTAATATCACTTAATGTCAATGGACTCAACTCACCTATTAAAAGTCACAGGCTAAAGAGATTGGATACGAAAACAGGATCCAACATTCTGCTGTTTACAAGAAACACACCTCAACCACAAAGACAGGCACCTACTCAGAGTAAAGGGCTGGGAAAAGGCTTATCAAGCAAATGGACCTAAGAAACAAGCAGGTGTGGCCATACTAATTTCTAACAAAGTTGACTTCAAACTTAAATCAATCAGA